TTTGACATAGGCCATGGCTACTGGTCTTCTAGAAACAAGTACACTTAGTCCTTCAAAGCCGACGACGTCGTCGTCGGCGTCGGCGGCGTCGCCGTCGGCATGGTCGGCGTCGGCGACGGCGTCGTCGGCGTGGGCTGGCAGCGCGAGCCGCGGGCGCTGCGCGCGGCGCGCGGGGATCTGGGGGCCGTCGCCAAGAGGGGAGGCGGCCACCTGGGCCGTCGTCTTTGGCCTCGCCGTCGTCGATAGCGTCGTCGTCGATAGCGTTGACGTCGGCGTCGACGTCGACGTCGTCATTCGTCGTCGTGCGCGGCGGGCACCGACGCGCGAGTGTTCGGGGGCCCGGCGTTGCCGCAGGGAGAAGCCAGAGGACCTGTGGGTCTTTAGGGTCTTGAGTTGGAGGGTCGAGGCTCGATGTTTTTGCTGCGCTCTCCACCCCCTTTTGTTCGGCGTCGTCGCCACGGGTGGGTTCGCCTCGACTGTCAAGTCGGACGCACCCCAGGACACGTCAGGGGTCGACGCTTATCGCTCGGACCCAAACCTTCAGGGTCACCACGGGGCATCACCCTCATCCTGCCGGTTGGTACTCGCCCTCAAACTCGAAGGCCTCCTTCTCCTCCTTCTCCTCCTGCTCGATGTCAAACCAATTTCCTCATGAATCCCCCACTTGTTTCGCGCCCCCGGACGCGCCTGCAGGCTGAGCCACACGTTGGGATGGAAATACATGTTCAAATCGCATCCATGACGCTAACCGACATTCGACAACTGCACAAATGGAGCAACGTGGTGTTCAAATTGTGGCTCTTTTCTCAGCGCCTCGCAGCATCGTCTTCAAAGCTTGCAACTACAAAAATGGAGGACGGGTGTTGTTCCACAGGCTGGTCTTGTTCCGCTCAGCGCCGCGCACGTTCGCTTCCAAATACGCAGCTGCATCAAAGTTGTTGACCGCTCCGATGTTCAGATGCAGTTCTCGTCTCGGCGCCGCACAAACGACCCTCAAAAAATGCACCCAATTCAAGGATGGAGGTAAGTTCGCCGTTTTCAAGTGACGGTCTGGCAAAAGCGCCGCGCATGGTCGTCCCCAAAGTTTGCGGCATTCACAAGCACGGAGGACGGCTCAATCTCAAATGAAGGTTTCGACCTAGCGACGTGCACATGCGTCCCGGGTGCTTGCAGCAACTTCAAGGATAGAGGAAACATGCTCATCCAAACTGAACCACATACCATGCATATAAAGTGGAGGCCCGTCCACAAAACAAAAACCACAAGGAACCCATGCCTGAGACCCCACAGCGTCCATGTATGTTTGGTGTGGGGGCCGCATGCTCTCCATGGCAAAACCATCGACACCAAGAAACATAGGACACCCTGGAGTCAAGCAGGGTGTTTGTTTGGCATGGGCACCCACTGCAATCTTTGCAACAGATACACTGACGTGGAACGGTTCCTTGTCAACACGGGTGGTTGCCATGCGATTGTGTCCTATCGTCATGAACGGACGCGCACGTTCTGCAATAGCTGCGCGGTCGGGGTGCGGCTCCTATTCCAAAAAGGAGGCCTACGCTGGGCACGTCGCTGAACCTCACGATATTTGCCTGCTCGAATTCCTCATCATTCGCCACAGCTATGTGCGCGACCCCTCGTCTTCAAAACGGGGCTCTGGAACGAATGGAAGGACCCTCGGATCCTCGCCTTTCAATGGGGCGAGCCTGTAGAAACAGCAAAGTTCGTATCGGGAGGACGGACCCTGAATGGGAAGACCACTTTGCAGCAGCATCGTTGGAGCACCCTGGGCACACCCTGGTGCTCCTCCTCCTCCTGCCCCTCTTCCTTCTAGCCACACCTGGTTATCCTCCTCGACGAGCGGGGGTCATAGGAGGGGCGGAGGAGGGTGGAGGGAGGAGGGAGGGACGAGACGCGAGGAGAAGCAAGGGGAAGCGAGGAGGAGCGAGGACCGAGGAGGGGCAACGAGGACAAACCGAGAAAGGAGGAGGACGAGGAGCGAGAACGAGCAGGAAACTGGGGGGGGGCAAAAAAATACCGATACCTCTTCGGCCGTGCATTTCACGGGGCGCATTCCGATCCGCGCGTCATGGAGACATCCCAGGGTATTTCCATGAGAACTCTCCAGGGCGAGCACCAGAAGCGCTGCGTTGCGCCCACCTGCGGAAGAGAGACGAGAAGGAAAGCAGGCAGAAACGAGGAGGAGGAGAAAGGAGGAGGAGGAAATGGACGAGGAGGAGGAGGAGGCGGGCTCACACCCGGAAGGTCAAGTTCCCCATGCTTCCATGCTAGGAGGAGGAGGAGGAGGAGGAAGAGGAGGAGGAGGAGGAGGAGGAGGGAGGAGGAGGAGGGGAAAGGAAGAGGAGGAGGAGGGAGGAGGAGAAGGTGGAGGAGGGAGGGAGGAGGAGGAGGGAGGAGGGAGGAGGGAGGAGGAGGAGGAGAGGGAGGAGGGAGGAGGGAGGAGGAGGAGGAGGACGAGGAGGAGGACGAGGAGGAGGAGGAGTAGGACGAGGAGGAGGAGGAAGAAGGCCCACGACATGGAAGCGGCCAGTCGCGCAGGCCGCCACCAACCGCCGCGCACAGGCACGGCACCCTCGGCCTCAGACGAGCAAGTACATGGAGTGCACACCGAGGAACACGACGTTGCGCGGTGGGGTGGGATGGCGGCGCCCGAGCCGTACGCGGCCCAGGGCCCCTACCGCCTCCCGCGGCCGCCCCCTCGCCGCCACGGAGCGCCAGCCGGCGGCGCGCGGCGGCTCGCCGCCGATGCCCTCCCACTGCTCCGCGAGGCGGGAGAAGTCCGCAACGAACTTCAGCAGCTCCGCGGGGTCCTGCGGCGGCGCCACTGCCTCGGAGAAGCCGAAGCGGCGGGAAAGCTCCGTGAAGCGCCCGCGGGCCTCCACCAACTCCGCCTCCGAGGGCGCCTTCGCCGCCGCGGCCGCCACAGGCGCCAGCGCAGCGTCGGCCCACTCGCCGCCACGAGGGAGCCCGACAGCCACGGCAGGCCGCCCACCGTCAGCCCACGCATCGTCGATCAGGTCCTCGTCCATCTCGCCGTCGCCGTCGGAGAGGGCCCGAAGCGCCGCCCCAGGCGCAAGCACGAGCCCAAGGCCCGCGCCCGCGCCGCCGGCGGCCGCCGTCGTGTCCACCTCCACGGCGAGGGGGGGAGCTGCGCCCACTCCAGCGCGACCAGTTTCAGCAGCACCAGGCTCCGCGCCACGCGCCTCCGCCCGCCGCGCCGAGAGGCGCTGGCGGCGGCGGCGGCGGCGCTCCGCCGTGGCGGCCGACTTGGCACGCTGGGGTGCGTCATCCTGCTCGGCAAGTTCGGCGCGGGCGACGGGCGGCGGCGCCGTCGGCGCGGTCCGCGCCCGAAGCGCGACCGCCGCAACAGCACCCGCCACCGCAGCCGCCGTGCGCCGCGGAGCCTTGGCCTCCACGGCCGCGGTCACGGCGGCCGCCAGCAAGGCGACGCCGTCCTCCGCAGCCGTCGGGCCCCCTCTAGGCCGTGCCATCCCGCGCGGGCGGACGGCCACGGCCAGCGCGATTGCTTGAGCCAAAATGGCTACGGAGGAGGAGGAGGAGGAGGAGGAGGAGGGAGGAGGGAGGAGGGAGGAGGGAGGAGGAGGGAGGAGGGAGCAGGGAGGGGGGAGGAGGCAGGAGGGTCATGGGGAGGTGGCGAAGAGGCCCGGGCCACGCCCCTCGGCGCCACCGCCCGAAGAGCTGCCCCGAGCCCGCTCGCGGCTCTCACAGGAAGTAGGGCACGAGCTGCCGCGGCTGCGTCTGCGGGGCGGAGGGGGTGTCGAAGGCCCCCTCCTCCGACGAGCAGCCACAGCTTCGAGCATCGTCAACCCTCCTCCTCCTCCTCCTCCTCCGACGTCGTCGTCGTCGTCGTCGTCGGCGTCGTCGTTATCGTCGTCGTCGTCGTCGTCGTCGTCGGCGTCGTCGAGGTTCGAAGATCGACCAAGGTAGGACAGTTGATTGTGCTGGGCGGTTGGGGAGTTTGGGCCGCCCGAGGCCTCTGCCGGCCCCTGACTGGGCACCGCGCGAGGAGGTCGCCGCCGCCGTCGTCGGACCTGCATTCATTTCCCGACCCCTCCCGGGTCCTGAGGGGGAACTGTAGATGTGAGAACCAGCTCAGGGTGGCAGCATCGAGCTGCGATCGGCGATATATCGGCGATATGGCCCTGATTGCGACTCCACACGTACCTGGGCGGGGTGGGCTATCCGGTCCCTATCTCGGCGGCGAGCCTTGGGGGAAGTGAGAAGGGGAGGGCTTCATTCAGAAGGCTCAGAAGTCCCATGGCGTTCTGAGACGCTCATCAGCCTTCCCCGAAGACAGATTATCCCGGCAAAGCAACCTAACAGCGATGTGTAGGAGCATATCTGGAAGCATTCCCCTTAAGATTCAGATGAGAATCCAGTTGTAGAATTCTGCTGTTCTCGCAGTCGTAGTCGCATTCGCGATGACAGTCGCAGCGGCAACGGCAGTCGCAGTCACAGCCTCAGCCTCAGCCTGCCTCAGCCTCAGCCTCAGCCTGCCTCAGCCTCAGCCTGCCTCAGCCTCAGCCTGCCTCAGCCTCAGCCTGCCTCAGCCTCAGCCTCAGCCTGCCTCAGCCTCAGCCTCAGCCTCAGTCTGCCTTCAGCCTCGGCCTCAGCCTCAGCCTGCCTCAGCCTGCATCAGCCTCAGCCTCAGCCAGCCTGCCTCAGCCTCAGCCTCAGCCTGCCTCAGCCTCAGCCTCAGCCTGCCTCAGCCTCAGCCTCAGCCTGCTTCAGCCTCAGCCTCAGTCTGCCTTCAGCCTCGGCCTCAGCCTGCCTCAGCCTCAGCCTGCATCAGCCTCAGCCTCAGCCTCAGCCTGCCTCAGCATCAGCCTGCCTCAGCCTCAGCCTCAGCCTGCCTCAGCCTCAGCCTCAGCCTCAGTCTCAGTCTGCCTTCAGCCTCGGCCTCAGCCTCCGCCTGCCTCAGCCTCAGCCTGCAGCCTCAGCCTCAGCCTCAGCCTCAGCCTGCCTCAGCATCAGCCTGCCTCAGCCTCAGCCTCAGCCTGCCTCAGCCTCAGCCTCAGCCTGCTTCAGCCTCAGCCTCAGTCTGCCTTCAGCCTCGGCCTCAGCCTCAGCCTGCCTCAGCCTCACCCTGCATCAGCCTCGGCCTCAGTCTCAGCCTGCCTCAGCCGCAGCCTCAGCCTGCCTCTGCCTCAGCCTCAGCCTGCTTCAGCCTCAGCCTCAATCTGCCTTCAGCCTCGGCCTAGCCTCAGCCTGCCTCCTCAGTGCCTCAGCCTCAGCCTCAGCTGCCTCAGCTCAGCCTCCTCAGCCTTCAGCCTCCTCAGCCTCAGCCTGCTTCAGCCCAGCTCAGTGAGCCTGCCTAGCCTCAGCCTCAGCCTGCCTCTTCAGCTGCAGCCTCAGCCTCAGTCTGCCTTCAGCCTCAGCCTCAGCTGCCTCAGCCTCAGCCTGCAGCTCAGCCTCAGCCTGCCTCAGCCTCAGCCTGCCTCAGCCTCAGCCTCAGCCTGCCTCAGCCTGCCTCAGCCTCAGCCTGATTCAGCCCATCAGCCTCAGTCTCTTCAGTCGGCTAGCCTCAGTTCAGCATCAGCCTGCCTCAGCATCATCCGCAGGACAAGTCAGCCAGCCTGCCTCAGCCTGCTAGCCTCGCATGCTTCTCAGCCTCCTCAGCCTATCAGCCTCAGCCTCAGCCTCAGCCTGCCTCAGCATCAGCCTGCCTCAGCCTCAGCCTGCCAGCCTCAGCCTCAGCCTCAGCCTGCTTCAGCCTCAGCCTCAGTCTGCCTTCAGCCTCGGCCTCAGCCTCAGCCTGCCTCAGCCTCAGCCTGCCTCAGCCTCAGCCTCAGCCTCAGCCTGCCTCAGCCTCAGCCTGCCTCAGCCTCAGCCTCAGCCTGCCTCAGCACAAAATGTGCCCGGGCATGGAGTTCTGGGGAACTCGAAGACCACGAAGTGGCCTACAGTTGGCTCCGGGCATTCAAAATCATGCCCAGGAATAGAGTTCTGGGAACTCGAAGACCACGAAGTGGCCTACAGTTGGCTCCGGGCATTCAAAATGTGGCCCAGGAATGGAGTTCTGGGAACTCGAAGACCACGAAGTGGCCTACAGTTGGCTCCGGGCATTCAAAATGTGGCCCGGGAATGGAGTTCTGGGAATTCGAAGACCACGAAGTGGCCTACAGTTGGCTCCAGGCATTCAAAATCATGCCCAGGAATGGAGTTCTGGGACCTCGAAGACCACGAAGTGTGTAACTGTTTGCTTAAAACGACTTCCGCGGCTTCTCCCCGGCACCCGCCCAGACCCCCCTGGGGAGTCAAGATGCTCTCTTTTGACACTACTAGAAACCTATCAGTCTTCGCTGTTAGGTAAAAACCTCTCAAAGGCGCAAGGGTTCCTGAATAAGAAAGCATTATCCTGGTCATTCCCCCCCTCGCTCGCCGCCGACTATCGGGGATGGATGTGCGGAACGGGGGAAACGGGTCCTGAGGGACACGGCTCCTGGACCCCAAGACCTGAGGTCTTCATCATGGGTCGTCTTCTGATAGTCCCGAGGTCTTCCTCCAGAACGGGGTCTTCATCCTGAACGAGGTTTTCATCCTGAGTCGTCTTCTGAGGTCTTCATCCAGAACGAGGTCTTCTGAGGTCTTCCTCTGGAGGAAGACCCCGAGACCTTCGTCCAGAACGAGGTCTTCATCCCGAGCCGTCTCCTGATAGCCCCGAGGGACGCGGGGGGGGCCCCGAGAGCCCGGAGACGGCAAGAGACCCCCGGACGCGTCTCCCCCAAGACCCGCTCCCCCCCGTGGCGACGCTCGGGGGTCGAGGCACCCTCCTGTGGCCCATACCCCCCCCCCCCCCCAGAACAGCGGCCCCTGGCTCCCGCCCGCCATCGCTCGGACGTCCACTCCCCGTGCACGTCCCGCCGTCGTGCGGATCGTTCTCGATGATCCGGGAGGATCCTCGAGGGTCCTCGCTGGAGAAGCAGCATGCACACAGCCGAGCGGTGCCGATCCCGGCGAGGGCCGGGAGGTCGAGGCTCGAGGCTCGAAGCCCTGCTCCGCGAGCGGCCCTGAGGCAAAGCCCGTCCATGCTCGACACGTCTGGGCGCCCCCTCTGATAAGCAAGCAGACTACCCCTGGCCCTTTGGGAGGGTCGTCGTCGTCCTCCTCCGTCGTCGTCGTCGTCGTCGTCGGCGTCGTCGTCCTCGTCGTCGGCGTCGTCGGCGTCGTCGTTCAGGGTCGGCGGCACCAGCAGTAAGGCCTCTCCATCAAAGCTACTCCTGGCCCTTTGGGAGGGGGCCTAAGTTACAGTCGAACCTGGGACACAAGGACATCTCTCAAGAGCACGAGACCCTCCGCCAGCCAAAACGTACAGAACATCCAAGGGTACCCTCCCCAGGGTGCACAAGAAAATCCAACAACCACGAAGAACACTCGGGTACCCTCCCCGGACCGATCTCGATTTATCTTCCTCGGACCGACTGTAAGAGGGCCCAAAAAATTAGAGATAGAGCGTCGTTTCTGCAGATGTCTCAGGCAAAACCGCCCAAATCGATCATCCCTACTGCAAACACGGGTACCTAAGTTCGGATGCGTGTTCGTTGTGTTGGTTTGGGGGTTCCTTTATTCTCGATGACCTTCCAGCACAGGGTCTTCAGCTCTTCAGCAAGTGGGCGACCTCGTCATCTTCGTGTCCGCCGTCGCTGTTGTCGACGTCGTCGTCGTCGTCGGCGTCGGCGTCGGCGTCGTCGTCGGCGTCGTCGGCGTCGTTCAGGGAGGGCGGCACCAGCAGTAAGGCCTCTCCATCAAAGCTACTCCTGGCCCTTGGGAGGGGGCCTAAGTTACAGTCGAACCTGGGACACAAGGACATCTCTCAAGAGCACGAGACCCTCCGCCAGCCAAAACGTACAAAACATCCTAGGGTACCCTCCCCAGGGTGCACAAGAAAATCCAACAACCACGAAGAAAACTCGGGTACCCTCCCCGGACCGATCTCGATGTATCTTCCTCGGACCGACTGTAAGAGGGCCCAAAAAATTAGAGATAGAGCGTCGTTTCTGCAGATGTCTCAGGCAAAACCGCCCAGATCGATCATCCCTACTGCAAACACGGGTACCTAAGTTCAGATGCGTTTTCGTTGTGTTGGTTTGGGGGTTCCTTTATTCTCGACGACCTTCCAGCACAGGGTCTTCAGCAAGTGGGCGACCTCAACATCTTCGTGTCCGCCGTCGCTGTTGTCGACGTCCTCCTCCGTCGTCGTCGTCGTCGTTGGCGTCGTCGTCCTCGTCGTCCGCGTCGTCGGCGTCGTCGGCGTCGTCGTCGTTCAGGGTCGGCGGCACCAGCAGTAAGGCCTCTCCATCAAAGCTACTCCTGGCCCTTTGGGAGGGGGCCTAAGTTACAGTCGAACCTGGGACACAAGGACATCTCTCAAGAGCACGAGACCCTCCGCCAGCCAAAACGTACAGAACATCCTGGGGTACCCTCCCCAGGGTGCACAAGAAAATCCAACAACCACGAAGAACACTCGGGTACCCTCCCCGGACCGATCTCGATGTATCTTCCTCGGACCGACTGTAAGAGGGCCCAAAAAATTAGAGATAGAGCGTCGTTTCTGCAGATGTCTCAGGCAAAACCGCCCAGATCGATCATCCCTACTGCAAACACGGGTACCTAAGTTCGGATGCGTTTTCGTTGTGTTGGTTTGGGGGTTCCTTTATTCTCGATGACCTTCCAGCACAGGGTCTTCAGCTCTTCAGCAAGTGGGCGACCTCGTCATCTTCGTGTCCGCCGTCGCTGTT